AGTTGAGAGCACTATGGAAAATCAAGCCAAATCTGGGCCTCAGCTTTCTCAAGGTCAGTTGAAGCTGAACTGAGCTTCTTCTGAGTGAACTCTGCAAGACCCGTCTGGACAATGCTAGGGTCAATCTGGCAAAGTGGCACAGCCTCAACAGCAATTACATCTGCAACAGACTTTGCATGGATAAAAGCAAAGCTGCTGCTAGAAATGATGCTCGCCACGGCAGTAACATCATTGTTCCAGAACCAATTCCAGCATAATAACCAATTACTGCTATTACTTAAAATGTTCACTTTAATAATGGGTAACCCTCTCTATTCGTTTGAGGATTTTGGGAACCTTACAGACATTTTCATTAATATGTAAATATATTTGTACATGGATTTGTACCCCCTTATTGCATGTTACGAATCATACTATATTATTTTTATTTAAAAAAAATATTTGAAATGTTCAACAATTCCTTCTGCTGACCGATCCAAGATTCAACAAAGGAATCAATACTAGAATCCTTTCCCTAGATATGCTACCTCGCACTTTTTAAGGTTGAATTATCTGAAAGGGATAATTCAAACAAGGGATCACGTTCTTCAGGATCTAAGGGATAGGTAATGCACAACAAGCCATAGAGGCCACATGATACTCACCACCCATTGCGTCTCTTTTTAGGTCAGGGAGCTAGTTGTTCTCAAACTATAGACATATTGAGAACTATCTATAGCACAACAATCTTTACAAAAATCTTTCCCATATTTTTATGGACCTTTCTATCCTAGAAAAAATCAGCACTCCGGAATACCACCTGGAGCTACCAACTAAGGAACACATTCATCTAGTCCTCCATGAAGAAATACCATAGAGATGAGACAGTTCACTTCTCCTTACCTCCATTCTAAAAAGGGAGGGTGGGCACCATCTATGTCCCCAAATCAAGAAGAGAATTAACTATGCAACAATCATTTGCTTCTTGTGCCCCAGCAAAAAAGAAAGACAGAAAAGAAAAGAAACAAGAGTACTTAAAACCAGGTGAAATGTAACAAAATACAATGATACCATTAACAATCAACAGCGGACGTGGTGCAATTGCTGGAATCGTGTAAGGCGAGTCGAAGTCAGAGGTTAGACCGGGAGCAATCCTATCCCATACCTGGTTAGAGAAGTAGCACAAAGAAAAAAGCTTAATTTGCAAACCAGACTTTGATGCATGAAAATGTAAATGATTATGTGTAGATTAGAAAGTAGAGTGTCACAAATTGCTGCATCTCCATCCGTAATGAAAGTCAGAGTTCAACATGAATAGGCTAACCACTTAGTAACTAATTGTATTAAAGGTAGGGAGAAAATCAAATTATTCAAATGTGGAGAATTGTGTAACTAACCTTCTTCACCACTTCTTTGTCAATTGCACTCTTCCCCATATCAATCCTTGCCTCTGAATCATACCATGGGAAATGATAAATAGAAATATGGCCAACTTATGCTTCAAGGCGCTACTGGTACTATATACCAGCCAAACTAAATGAACTTGCATTCATGTAAAAATACTAAATGCTATTATTTGCACAATGTCATCAATTTTGTTAATAATAAATGAGTTGGGTTGAAATTGTCTTGATAGATTATAAATTATGATTCTTTTAGATATAAAAGTATTATATTATCTATGAGTATGTTATTTATAGCTTTAG